GGTGCTGTTTCATTCGTCGTCTGTGTAGCTTCTAAACACTAATTAACAYTAAATATTAAGAGGTCAAGTAAGTCAGGTGCACTGGTCTGCATTGAGCTGAGGAAAAGTGATATCCACCTGCAGGAAATGTTGCAGGGGGAAACAGATGCATCTTGGTGATAGGRGATGGGAAGGGGATATTAGGTCATTAATTACTTACCCTTGCATAAACAAAACTTAATATTTTGAAAAGTCTCTAATTTAAAGGGAAGGAAAGAATCTTTCATCTTCTGCGCTATTTAACTGCATGTCAAGTTGGGTCAATTGGAAAATTTTTGTGTTCATTTCTGCTTTGTATATTGATTACTCCTCCATTAACTGTCCCAATGCACTGAGCACTAGTTTTGAATGGAAAAAAAGGTAAGGGGAGCTAGACTGCAAAATCCAGGGTSCCTGTCACTCTGATTTCTCTAGGGAGTATACAGGGTGCAATTTGGTTTATTTTTCTACAGGTTTAAGCTCATTTGATGGCTGGTAGTTGGGAACTTAAGCTGGGATCTTCTCAGAAGTGGTATTTGCTTAGCCTGCTGATTTTCTCARTTAAAAAGAGGGCTTGGTTGAAAACCCAAGTGTGGTGAATAAATGTTCAGGGTTTATAATGAATTTTGGTGCTTGTATGTCACTTGGGGGGTGTTTTTTTGTTTATTTGGTTTTGGTTTTTTTGTGGTTTTTTTTGTTGTTGTTTTTTTAAACTCTTTTTTCCCCTTTTTCCTTCCTTGTTTTGGAAAAAAAAATAAAAATGAGAAGCTGGTAAGTTTGTTTGGTCCAAAACTAATTTAGAATGAAGCAGTTCGGTCATGGGAGCTTGCAGTTCATCTTTTTTACAATGTAAGCTATGAAATTTTACACATTGTGGAGCCTTTACTCAAGCACTAGACAGCTTTCAGAGAGCGAGCAAGCTTTAAATATTAATTTGTAACATCAGWGCCAGGTTCTCCTTCTTCCAGCTGCTTAGCAATGGTGCATTTGGGGTTTTCTGTGGTATTGCTTTTTTACTTTTGTAATTGRCTGGTAGTATTTATTAAACAACATACTCTGAGAAATTGCTGAAGCTCCATGCAGCCGAGCTGGGTAGTTTTTCTGGAGAGCTGAATGGTGGAGACCAGACTTCCCACACAGGAGGCCCTTGCCAAAGATTTATCTTCATATGCTCAGTGCAAATGTAAAGCTGCTTGTGTATATTTTCTGTGAAATGTTATAAAGTTAAGCARGATTGTTTTCCCAATACAATGTTAAAGCTGAAATACAGTTACGTTCCAACATAGCAAATCTGCATTTTGTGCATAAATTACTTAAATATCTAGGAGCAGYGAAATATATGCTGTTAAACATGTCAAATGTGATGATTAAGTGACTGGATTGTTAGGAAGAAAATAGTAATTTTCTGAAAACCTAAATGAATGATTTGGCACAATTAACTGTAAACACTACCAAAAAAAAAAGGAGGAAAATTTTCTATTGCAGGATCACGTTTGTAGGCAGTCAGTATCAAAAACAAGAGTGAAAATATTTCAGATTTTCTGCAGTTAATTGACAAACTCGTTTCTTCCCCTGACATTATTTTACCTGCTGACAGCTGCGTGGGTGGCTCAGTACGGCTGGGGATCTCACATCACTAATACAGTGGCAGTCACTGCTGTAAGCTGATTTCTTTGTGATACTGAGACTGTGTAAATKCTTCCCAGTAAACTGCTGCCCTGGAAGGACTGGACAGGAGCCTGAGTAGCTGGGCTGTGCATCAAGGAGAAGGTCCTGCCTTCTGAATTACTTGTCTGCGTATTTTGTGGACACAAGAAATGCTGGAGCCACTTGAGACCAATTTTAAATCGGTGGCATTGGATTAGTGTAGACAAAGTGTTTTTTTGAACATCCTCGTTGCTGCTGATGATGTGTATAAGAAAGAGAGAGATCAGTTTGACTCAAAGCCCAGGCAAAACTTTTTGAGATAGCTATTTAGAAGAACTGTCTTACTGGTAGACTAAGCAAACTTGTATATTTTTCTATTAATAAACATGTAAACTTTGTCTGCCTGTTTAGAAGCACTTTGAGAAAGACCCTTTTACCCTAGTACACTGAAACCTCAGCTAGGCCAAGGGTACTTTTCTTTGATCACAAAATRTGTTCATTTGAGCAGTGGTAGCATGAAATAAAAAGTGAAATCAGAAGTAAAAAAAAAAAAAGTAAAAAGCCTTCTCAATATTATTCAAACTTAAACTAAACTGTGGCTTTGATGTTSTTGGGCTTCACGTAGAGCGCTTATTGAAGCCTTTCTCTGTATTGTTAGGTCTGTACAGAGCTGTGGTCCAACCCCTGGCCACACCAATAAAAATAGTTTTGAGTAGCAGTTAACCCATAACTGGTTTTGCACGTTGCTTCRTGCTGTAACTTGAGATGGGGTTAATCTTTCTGTGTGTTCCCTTGCCTGGAGTGGGAGGTCTCTGTGACTCACTGATCAATGAAATGTCAGCTGTATGGGGAAGGGAATGGAGGGATCTCTCTGTGCAGTCAGGTGTCCATAGGATGGTGATKACAAAGGAGGGACAATCCTGGTGATCACCTCTGTCCTCATGCCMGTGTCTTGCCTGAAGTTGTGTCCTGTCTGAAGTGCTGCTGTGCAGAATCCCTGCTTTGGTGCAGCTGGGGTCACGTTATCCGAGTTGTCATTCCTCAGTTGTACCAAGTGCTCTGGTAGGGCAGGTAAGTGCTCTCAAAAAGCTGTTTCAGAGYGTGGTCTGTGTGGGTGCCCAGCCTGGCAGAGATCAGCAGGAGTTAGAAAGCACACTAGAAAACCATGGCGAGCAAAGCCAGGAGGGCTTCAGCTACTGCACCATCTATCTGTGTTTTCTGTCCTCTCCTGCRCTGCTGTGCTCCCAGCCCAAAAGGAGATGGCGATGTGTTAGTGGAAACTTGTGCAAACATGGCTTGAAGAGCTGACCAGAAACCTGCCTCACATTCTCAGCTTTCCGTGCTGATTATGGCTTGTGCCATTGGAGTGAACCACATGATCATGACCCRTCATATTTATTCATACTTACTCCTGAAGTTCCCTAAAGCCTGCCTTACCAGACTGCCTAATTTAAAGCATTTGGYCAAAGCACTGCTGCCACATCAGCAGCAAAAAGGCTCAATAAGGAAAAGGAGGACCCACTGCTGGAAGAGTTGGGAGATGCAGTAACCGCAGACCCAGTTGAAACTGGGGTTCTCAATGCTGCTGTGTTTGCCTCAGTCTTGGAAACATGGACTCCTGGGCCTCTGTGCTTGGTGGAAAGGATCAAGGAGGAGAACAGCTACCACTAATGGATGAGAGTCGACTCAGGAGTTAAAGAACCCATGTGAGTCCATGTAGTCAGATGGGCTGCAATCAAGGGTGATCAGCACCCCCTGGGATCAAGAAGCTGAAGACAAATGCCAGCTAATTTTTCCTGATGGAGTCTGTGCCTCATTTTCAAGTGGGTGTTACTGGTGCACTGCTCCTTGTGCTTCCTTGAGACATCATTGCTCTGGATGGAAATTGTAGCAGAGTTGTGATATAGGTACATTTTGTCATTCCAAACTTATGTTTCAAGCAGCATAACGGCAACAAAGCACGAGAGGCAGTGTCTTTATTTGATGCAGAATTTGCACTGCAGTTGTCTGAGCTGTTTCAGTTTMTGAGGTTATTGTGACTTCTTAAATGTGACCATTTCTACATAGTTCCTTCTAATTAAACAGTCTAACTTGCTACTGAGTAGATAAATTACTTTTTTTATGTGAYGGAGGTCTTAGTGTAGCTCCCTCCCTGTTCTAGGGAGCAGTGATACCCTTTCCCATATATACACATAAGTAAGGAAGTTTTTGCATCTGCAGCTGTCAGGAATGTACTTTGGCTGATGAATGCAGCCYAGCTTAAAGGCGAGATCCCATAGTGGGTCATTTAAGCTTTATTGGTCTGCCAGACCAGATTATCATTTTGTTTAACCAGAGAAGTAGTTTTCATTGTTACCTCATTGCCAAGGGTCTGTCAGCATTTCCATTATAAACCCCCTATTTTCAGGGATTTGAGTAGACTTGCRATTTAAGTGTTCTGGTCTAAAACTTGGCAAGCATGTTCTTCGTTCACCAACAGATATTTTCTTTATGCGATTTTAAAGCAGTCAGCTGTTTCTTAAATTGTAGTGAAGGCAAGAGGATTTTTTCCCCTTGGTTAAAYAGATAGGACTATTTTTTTCCATCTCATTTATTGCAACTCGATTTATAAAAAATAATCCCCTATTCTGTTGCTTAAAAAAAGAAGAAAGGGGGAGGAGAAAAAGAAATATCTTCTTGCTGCCCTGTTCTGTTTGCCATGCCTCAAACCCTTCCCTTTGGTCTGTGTTTGGTGAAGTCCCACCCACCCTCTGKGTCCCTTGTCTCCTCCTCTTTACTTATTTCCTTTCAGTGTATTTACACTCTCAGTACATCGAGTTGCAGGGCTTGTTCTCTTTACTCCATTCCTCTGCTTTGCTTTCCTGTCTCATGCTTCCAGCCCTCGATTCTGGTGAATCAACCTGTATTACCTTTCTCTAAAAGGTTGCTCTGAGGTGCTCTTAAGTGATACAACATACCTGTGGTAAATAGAAACTTTATACTTAACTGTTTRTGGTAATAGACTTTGCTACTTAACTGAAGAACATGTGCATCACTCTTAGTTGAGTGCTGCAATTTTTCAGTGCTTTTCTGAGACGTCACTGTGTCTCTAGAGCAAAGTACTTTCACATTCCTTTTTTTCTTTGTAAGCAAATCTTTAATGTAGACYGAAAAAAAGTGAAGTGTGATTGGCGCAGGGCAGCACTGTGGGTTTTCATGGCTGGGCTCTTTTAGTCATTTCCTGAGAGCTTGGTGCAGCAAGGTGACAGCCCAGGAAGCGACAGCAAGCTTAGCAAGGCTTTGTGTGCTGCTGGAAGTCGGTGTGCTACAGGTGAGGGCACGTCCTTCGTGCGGAGATGTAGGAATACCTGGTTCTGGGATTGGTGCTCACGGTTTTCAGGAAGAACTCTGCTGCCTTGCCGCTCACAGCCATGAACAAAGTAACTGGGGATGGAAAATGGTGAGTGAGGAACTACAGCTACGTGACTGCTAAGCRACAAGGAATACAAGAGAAGTGCCCGAATCCAAAGGGTGGAAAATGAGTGCTTTCACAAAACATCATAGTCTCTCTCCCAGGACCTTCAGAAGATCTTTGTTGGGACAAGATKCTGGCATGTCTGCCTTGAAGGACTATCAGTGGTGCCACCGAATGAAAAGCAAGAAGCTGAATAAGCAGATGAGTTTGGACTCAGAGAGACCTCTTGGAGCGTACAAGTGGCAGACACATCCTTGGCTTCCCTGGAGGGTAAGCAAAAGAGAGGCCTCCTCCAGTCTGAAAGGGGAATGCAACAACGCAAGTCTTTCTGCAAGTTCCACAAGCGTGGATGCTCCCAGTGCTGACAATCTCCATGCAGACCCATCGGAGGTACCCTTCAAAGCAAGGTCTAGGCCATTCCGGGTTCCCTTCAGCCGCTCCCTGTCCGAGCCCGTGTCACACACCGGGAGCAGGAATGCCAGGCCGTTCCTGCAAACCGTGCGTTCGCTGGATGCAGAACAGCAGAGCTACTTAATGCGGGACTTCTTCTCCTCTCTCTCAAGTGGCTTTTCAAAGATCATGAGTCGAAAAGGGGACCCTGTCAGTGAGTCCATAACTGAAGGGAAGACAGAGGACATTCAAATTTTTTTGAGTACAGGTAATGAACTCGCTTTTGTTTTGTTCTGCTTCTGCTTGTGTAAGAGGTGAGTGTAGTGAGGCATAYGGTGGTTGTTTAAACTGTTTTGTAACTTGGCTTTATTGACATTGGTGATGCTCTGATGTTCTGTCTTAATTTTTRAAAAGCAACTGAAAAAAGGTCCTTTCCTGATAAGGAAGTAGTATGAGATGTTTTGGTGTGGGCGTAAAAATGTGGAGGTCCCTTTAATGCCAGCATCTGCAGGTGGTAGCAGTTGCATTTCATTCTCAAGTACACCCTGTGTGTGGTGTGTGTAGTCCTGCAGGCACAGTATCCTCTGTGGTGGTGGTGTTGTGCTGCCCTGATTGAGATATCAAGCCTGCTCCTGTCAATGAAGTACTGAGGAGAGGGAGAAATTAAGTTGTCTTTTAAACGGTGTTCCAGACAGTGGAATRGATCTAGTTCCTCATACCAGACTCTCCATTTTGTAATCAAGCAGCTGACCTGGTGTCTGCTCTCTGGTAGATGCCAAGGACAGCWGTGTTGCAAGGGTTTAGCCAGCTGGGATTGAGGTCAGCAAGATGCCAGTCTGAGATTTCATTTAAATCTACCTTGCTGATAACAGCACTGTCAAGGYAGGGTGKTAAAAAGAGTAGGGGGAAGGRGATAAACTTGCCTTTTCTCTCTGGSTTTTCTGMAACTTTTAGTGGGCTACCCAGCTTGWACCTGGTAACTGATGATAYCTGGGAAAAAATCCACAAAGTTTAAMTTTATAATAAAACAAAAAATAAACCTTCCTGCTCCCCAAAACCTCAGCTCTTTCTAGAGTCCTACAGATTATAGTATTAAAAACCTGGCAACATCTGTATACAGTTGAGGCTGCTGGACAAGTCATCACTATTCAAAAGAATTCAGTAGTAGTAATGAAAGAAGGTTATACTACGTCTGCAGGAGTATTCAATGTTTCAGTCCCRGTGGAATGTCCCTGACAGGCTTATGTTTGCTATTGGAAGCTGTCATGTTGYTTTAAAACAAAAACAAATGACCAAAAAGGAGAAATAACTAAGAAGGACTATATCTGTTCAWGACTATTTATTTACAGTCACTGATTTGTTTCTCCAGGACCTTTCTCAATAGGAATTTGGCTTGATGATGCTTATTTAATTGTGTGGAACACATGGGGGGGAAAAAAAAGTAACAGAACTACTTTTTTCCTTTTCTGTTGAAGTATTCTCATTAAGGAGTTGGTTGGTTTTGCCCTCTCCTCTGTATTTATTCAGATTAGGAGTGAAGGTTTCTTCTGCAGGCTCTCACTGTTTTTTGAGACCTTCTGGGAAGGTATTCTATGTGATATGAGCATTTTGGATCAAAATCCCACAGTATACAAAGGGCAGAGCATCCTGCAATTCCCTTCTTTCCTCTGTTGGTGCTCCTTGATACCAAATGGTTCTCCCATAATTCATGGTTCTCTCATAATTCATACGTATTGCCAGTCGCTGGGTATTAGGATGCTTTGCTTTTAGTAGCKTGTAAAGTAAACAGAGAAGGATTATTTGTGAGAAGGCACCGCTTGGTAAATACTTCATGTCAGTTACGGGACAGTGACGGAGCCTTTTGGCTCTTTGGGGTGGGCCAAACCTCTGTCTGAGCCTGCCAAAACTGGTTTTGCAAAGACAGTCACAATTCAGGAACTGAGAGAAAACAATGGGTCTCTAGATTAAAAGTCAAACTCTCTCGAGGGAGGAAATTGTAGCCAGGAAGGTGTTTGGGGAAATAAGTTTGATGAAGTCACCCATAAAATCACTTGCAACAGCCAGGTCCTGCTTGGACCACTTCACAGGAAAGCAGAGCTTTTGGTGGGATGGACAGACATCTMCATGGGGTTTCTTTTCACCTTTTGCCATCACAAACATTCAGCCTCTGATCCCTCAAGTAGATGACAGCCTGTGTTTAACAGRACTAGTTCACCCTGTAAGAGGTGCAGCTGTGTGGGATATACAGTCAGAGGACAACTTATTGCTCTCCACTGGTTTTATCTTTCCTTAAAGAAGTGCTGCCTATGCCATAATTAACTGGAGCTGCTGGGCAGAGACTCCTGCCTGTAGGCTGTAGTAAAACATTGTGAGCTCCTGGGGTTTAGGTCTGAGGTCTAAGGGAGGTGACTTGAAGATAAAAGGGGCAAGTGAAATGTAAATCCAATGTAAATCCATTGTGCACTTCAACCCAGTGTAGATGCTCRGAAGGGATCACGTGTTCTTCCAAAAACCACATGAGTTTAGTTCTGTGGRGCTCACTGAATTGTCCACTGACTGTTTTGGTGTATGGGTGGGCAGAAGGTGGCTTTCCATGCCTACAATCCCATTTACTGTTCCAGAAGATCCAAGAAAAGGAATGTTTTCTGCTCCACAAGAAGCAGGACTTGGTAATCCTCATGCAACTGAGATCAGTGGTAAAAGTGCTCAGGCACTTTAACTAGCCAAAGGATGGTGTGAGACATGAGGTTTCTCCAAAGTGTGCAAACAGCTTTACACAGAAAAGCTTGATTGAAAGTCCCCCAGGAAATGTCTGTTTGGACAGAAATTCTTGTCACTGTAACTGAAACCCAAGAGACCTTATCTGTGTTGTGAAATACACAGTGGGAGAGGCATTTCTTGGAGTTCAACCAGGAGAACCCAGGGGTGCACGTTCTGTCTCTCTTCTGTCCAAGAAGCCAAGTATTCTACTTCCATAGCCTCACTTAATTAAAAGTATTCCCACTTAAAAAGAAGTTTATCTTCCTTCTAATGCTTGYCTGGCCTCTTGTGTTTTGCTTCATCTCTGCGCCAGAATGGCAGAGGGGTTCCCTTCTTCAGGAAATGCTTAACTCCCAAAAGAGTACCAGTTGTTTTCATGACTGCTTGAAGAGGAAAGTGGGATTTATAMAGAAAAGAAAAAACAAGATCTGGATAAATATTTTCCAGTTGGTCTCACAGTCTGGGAAGCATGTTCAGACACTGTTTCATCGGTTCTTGGCTGCGGAAATCCCTCCTGGATGGACTCACTTGTCCTCTYAGGCGATGAAAGGATGCTGAAGCCCAGGAGAGCTGCCTCCCTCGGCTGTGCCCAGAGCTGTGGCTAGATGCAGAGCCTCCCCGAAGTGCATGGCAGGATTTCTGCATCCCACTGCAGCGTGGGCTTGGGAGGAAGGGCACAGATGGAGAGCAGAGTTCTTTCCTGGTGTGCCGCATGGCACTGCCCAGGAGCTGCCTGGGCTGCGTTTGGGTGGAAATGAAGGGCTTTTGGTGCATATCTGCTGATTGCTAACCTCTCCTGGAGCCAAGCACTTGGAACCAGCATTTCCATTGGCATGTGCAAAGCCTGAAGGTAAAAGGTCTTATGCTCATTGCTATTATTATTTACAACTTAAGCAATCTAAGAATATATTAATTTCTAATAAATTGTCAGCTTGGGGAAGGAGAAGTGTCATTCTGATAAACATGTTGATTGTGAACCCGTGATTTGGGGAGAAAGAAGATAAGGAAGGAGCTATGCAGACAAAGGCTCGGATGCCAGGGTTGTGGGTGAGCAGCTGCACCTGTTCTTGTTATTTCTGAGTATTACCGGTGACCCTTTCACACTCTTGAGAATGGGTTGGTGAGAGAGTTCTCAGATWGCATTTATTTCACTGTTGCTTCTTATCTGGATCTCAGGGTGGTGTGAGTTTAATTGTAGACTGATGACAAAGTAATCCTTCAGTARAATACCTTACCTATATCTTCCCAGGGTATCTCTGTTTTGGTTTGAGGGGGTGAGGGTAAACACTGACTTCTTTTATTTAGTGGGTGTTTAGTTTTCACAATCACTCTCTTGATAATATTTTTATGAAGACAGTTCTTCAGAATTCCTTCCTTCTCTTTCATCACCTGGATAAAGATATGTTTCTTCAGTCTTTTAATTTTGATTTCAAGCTTTCATTCATTTTGTAGAGGATTTTTTGTGCCTTGAGTGAGAGTATTTTATATCCTTGCTTTTGCAGAATTATTTTGGATTTTTTTAAAAATTCACTAGATTATTTGAACTCCATGCTCTTTTTAATATCTTTATACTCTATGTTTATTAAATTTTATTTCTTACATATTTTCATATAAACTTATCTAGAGATTTGTATTTTCTCATTTATAACTCAAAACCAAGGCAGTTCCCTGCTCAGTTTCTTTCGGCAATTCCCAAAATACAAAGCTGTTTCTTCCTGACTAGGAATTTAGTATTTATTACTCATTGGAACAGCTTTTCTGTATTCATGTTTTTAAAACCACTTTCTCATTTTAGAAGCCCTTCTACTGACTCATGTTCCTCCACTCCCAAATCTCTTTTGCTCTTAAGTAGTTTATTTTGGTAGGGTTTTTATTAGGGAAGTTTTACACAATTGAGGTTATTCATGTGTTCCTTTAAGTGCTGTGCAAATTCKTTGTGCTGTGAAACCTGATGTTGTTGTTGAAAGGTGTAGTCCTAATGTTCAAACTCCTTCACCCTTAATTATCAGAGCAGATTCAAGATAGCTGCTTGTACCTAATCCCTCATTGTATTAAACTATAGTTTYGTGGAGTTATAAATATGAAAATAACACATTGCACTCTGGTTTCTCTCTTTTTAAAGCTGTAGTGGGGCCTTGTGGTACTGAATGTTGTGTTAACATGRTATATTGGAAATTACAGGGGGCTGGGGATGCACAGGGAACATTTCTGGCATTTGACAGCTTTAAGTATCACTCARACATTTCCCCCCCACACACTATTTCCTTTTGCTGGTTCATCCCAGGCATTGTAACATTTAACGTGGGCAATAGGCTAATACTATGCAGGTGAATCTTTATGAGCATAACACAACATAATTAGCCATAATATCCGAAGCAAATAAAATTATGCTTATCTGATTTTAATTCCACTTAATGGATGGTGTCTCTAAGCAAGTAGTTGTGGTCATTTCAGCGTTGGCTGTAGATTTTCATGTATTTAATCCCCAGACCACTTTGTCAGAATCCA